GATTGTATGGTGAATGTGCCGTAGTTAGGATGTGGTTGAAAGATTGCTTATAATCGAAATAAAAAAGGGGCTGATAGCAATAAGGTGCTAATCGAAAGCAATCGAAGAATTGTCAGAAGATATAGGGACTGGTTAGTTATGCAAAGGGCCAAATAAGAGTGGCTAATTTAAATTGTGATCCATCAATTCAACTCTTTAAAATTTCGGTCTGCCCTTATTTCAAAGAGCTGGGGGGGGGGGGGGGGGGCATTGTTTGCACCATAAAAATAAAATTTTTAATTTAGACACATGGTGTTGTTTGATTGGAGGAGAAGATATGTACCGTGTTATTAAATAGGACTCCTATATAAAATTGCAGTCTAAAGTCAATAAATTGCCTATGTCAATTTTATTCCACAAATACGGTTTATTTGGATAAATTTAAGACAAAAGGCAAAAGGTGGATAAGATTAAGACAATGGTAGTTTTTATAATTCAAATGATGGTGGATAAGATTAAGACAAGGGTAGTTTTTATAATTCAAATGATATTTGAATTTAAAAAGAAAACTGTTGCTATAAGGTTTCTCTATAAATAGGGACATGAGGAGTCTGTGCAAAAGGTCCCCGACCAACACAACGCATTTTCTTTATAAATGTTTTTCATTCTCTGCAATTTCAGTTCTTTAATTGTATTTTACTTCTGTTCATAGGAGTTGCCTCTAGTGTTAGAATTCCCCTTCTTGTACTCTGAATAAGAATTTTACTTATGAAATAAAAGTCGACGCTTGGCATCAGTCCCTTCTACTTTTATTTTCTAAGTCTCTTAGAATAGATAAATGCTCGTGTAATTTGTTTTACTCCATTCATCCATTTTACTTATAGTGTTGAAAGTCCTCTTTATTGAAGCGTTGAAGAACCTGAAGGAAGGGGTTATCCTTGCCTTCCAGCAGTCGTCTGATTCACTAAGGGCCGATTTTAGATTCGGTCAGCACCAAGGATAGTTTGGCTATCCAACCTCTTGGGTCAAAAGACTCTGGCATGCCCCTAAAAAAAAAACAGCCAAACAAACCCCTACCTTTCAAATGGTTGCCAAGGTACGTATGTTTCAAATGGTTGCCAAGGTACAGAGTATTTAGAGTGTATTACACTGTTTGAGAGTTGTTCTTACAATGTATCGGGAGAGGGTTATATTCTCTACAAACAAACTTACAAGTCTCATTTCTCATCATTAAAACTCTTAAGTTTCATAGGATTAAATAACATGAGTAATCACCAATAAATTGGAATCAATATCTGCTGTCAGTAATGGCTATCACTTTATTTTTGATGATAACATTCTGCTTATATGTATGTAGTTGTATAAATCTGTTGCTATTTTATTTCATCAAAGGTCTATTCAACTTTATCTTTTAATAGGAAAAGTATTACTTAATTCTATGAAATCGTTAGGTTAAGTTTGTGTAAAGTGACGTGACTTTGACTTTGACTATTAGGTTGCATCTGATGGTGCAGAAAAGCATCTGATGAATTATTGGTGGTGCAATATTCCATATGGTTGTCTATTTTATAGTTTGATTACTTTGACTGTTAGGTTGGTTACGTGGTTCGTTACTTTTTTTATTTTTTTATTTTACAAGGTAAGAAGTATTATAAATTAGATTAGTACATGTAGATATCTGACACTTCAAAAATTACTAGAGGCACTAATTTACTGTGTTATCGAGGCATCTGCATGTGGTTCATTACTTTTACTGTTACCATTTTAATTTAATATTAATAAAATTTTTCATTTCATAACCAAATTAACGGGTTGATCACGGATATGAGGACAACTCGATAACTTTTTTAGTTAAGGAGCTCTTTAATTTTAGGACTAAAATCATAAAACTCATCTTTTATTTTCAAAAAGGTCATATAACCCCCCTCAATTATCAAACCAGCTCCTAAACTAGGAAATACTATTACGTTACGCCCTTTCCGTAATGAACAGTCAATTATTACAAAAATGACAATAATGCCCTTAATAGTATATTATTATTTTATTAAACTGATATTAGCCCTTAATTCTATTAGAGTTTTATGCATAATTTTAAAAGTATAAGAAAATTTTGTTATTTTATGAGCGGTGTTGAGCTCTTAGAGCACCCCCATTAGAATCATTAGACTACACTATTAAAAGGTGCGCTTCCTGATTTAAAATGCTTTCCAATTCATGTTAGTGTAGCCTTATTTCATAGTGATTTATGTAACAAACTAAATAGACATAATCTTTGAGAACACTTTTGTTATATCATTTATGATCCATAAATATTCAAATTTGAAGAACTTATACATACTCAATGTGCAATTGTTTTGTTTCTTTTGGACTCAAAAGATATTGACGAGTGCAAAGGTCAGAAAAAGGATATTTGCCCAATTGGTGCCCTATGCAAAAGCACAGAAGGTAGTTACTCATGTGTTTGCCCACCCAGTTCCCACAACATTGATGGAAATGGAACTGCATGCATACAAGGGAGACGATCATTACAACTCATTATTTCTTTAGGTACAATCTTCTGAAATTCCCTTTTAACCCTCCTCCCCATGAAATTATTCTTACCTTTTCTGCACTTGCAGGCATTGGAATTGCTATTGGCATTCTACTCTTTATTGCTATTGGTTTATGGTTGAACCGTAAATTTGAGAAGAGACGGAAAAACAAAATCAAACAGAAGTTCTTTAAGAGGAATGGAGGTTTGCTAGTAGAACAACAACTCTCTTCAAGTACAGAAAGTGGGGTGAAAACAAAACTCTTCATAGCAAAAGAGTTAGAGAAAGCCACAGATAAATTCAACGAAAGTCGAATCCTTGGTAAGGGTGGACTTGGTACAGTTTACAAAGGGATGTTATCAGATGGAAGCATAGTGGCTGTAAAGAAATCTAACATAGTTGATGAAAATCAAGTTGGTCAATTCATTAATGAAGTTCTTATCATTTCTCATATAAATCATAGAAACATTGTGAAATTGTTAGGTTGCTGCTTAGAAACTGAAGTTTCAATACTAGTGTATGAATATGTCTCAAATGGCACCTTCTCCGACCATCTTCATGATGAGGGCTATGTTTCGATGGCTTGGAATAATCGTTTAAGAGTTGCAGGGGAAATTGTTCGAGCACTTGCCTATTTGCACTCATGTGCTTCTACACCTATCATTCATAGAGATATAAAGTCTAGCAATATACTATTGGACAACAATTACAGGGCTGTGGTGTCCGACTTTGGAATTTCAAGGTCAGTACCCCTTAACAAGACTCATTGGACGACTTTGGTCAGGGGCACATTTGGTTACTTTGATCCCGAGTACTTCCGATCAGGGCAGCTTACTGATAGAAGTGATGTTTATGCCTTCGGTGTAGTTCTTGCCGAACTTCTAACAGGAAAAAAAGCTATCTCCTCTGATGGATCTTATGAAGAAGGTCTTGCACTTCATTTTCGATCATCATTGAAACAAAATAGTCCGTTTGAAGTTTAGACACACAAGTTGTCAATGAAAGCCAAGATGAGGAGATTCATGTTGTTGCTACCCTTGCCAAGAGATGCCTAAAATTGAATGCGAAGAAAAGGCCAAGTATGAAAGAAGTGGCAGCAGAATTGGACCAATTGACAAGGATACAAGAGCTGCCATTGATTCAACAGAATAGCCTGGATAGCTACGACTTGGTGAGTGAAAGGTCCTCCTCTTACACAATTGATGCAGTTGAAGAAGAAAGTTGATGATAGGAAATGTTTCTTATAGTCAAATTCCAAGGTAATGAAGTTTCTATTTTCTTTTCCGAACAATAATAGAAGTTTAAGGAGGATTGTCAGACCAGTTTCTTTTGGTTTTGAATAACTACAATGATTGACTATCACCTTTGTTCACTGTTTAATTTTGAAGGGTTTGTACGAATTTCGTATTAAAACTTTTAAAGATATCTAGTAGCTAAATTTGTGTTTTGCTAGTGATATCTAGCCCGGGTTAAAAATATCATGAAATCATTCTTTTTCTTTCTTTATGTTCTCTTTTTTAGTTGCTTTCACTCCTGGACCACTAGGTCCAATAGAGTTTAGAATAAATGGTTTACTATTTTACTCTTAAATGCATCAATATATTCAACATTTCTTATGGCAATTCCAAACTAATTTCAACCCATGAGTCTATGACTGATCAAAGTATATCAGTTTGTATAAATCAGTACAGAACAAGAAACAGATTCCTAGTGTAGTGAAGTAATCAAATTATCTTTAAAGAAAAACTTGAATGATTTGAATTTCCTAACATTCCTTCCAAGGCAATGTAAGTCCTCAAGAAGTAGAATTAAGGAAATTTTAAATATTTTGCTAGCTTGCAAATCATGTTACCTTGCCTTATTAGCCACGAACAACGTTGGTAGTGTCTTCCTGGAAAATGCTGATTCTTGGGGAGCATTAGCATGCGTCCATAAGATATCTGAACACGTTTAAAGCTAAGATTCCAGGTTAATTCGAAAACCAATGACAATAAATGTATTAAAAACATTAATAGTATGACAAATACTAAAAATAACAATTGAATCAATTATTATCACACACAAATGAACTGTTAACGATATAGGATACACGAGGGCGGTATAAAAACAAATATCTTACTTCTCCACTCTTATTTTTTAGATAGATGACAAGATTCATAAAAGGGTTCACCGTGGTGTGTTTTATAAGCGTATCCAAGAGATTTCACTCAACTCAACCCAACAAAGGCTTTTTTCAACTTTTTGGGATCAGCTACATGAATCATGTCTCGCCACTCCACTCTGTCTAAAGCCTTAACTTTAGTCAAACCAATATCTAAGAGATACATCAACTAAAAAAAAAAAACTAATTAGAAGAGTAAATTATCACATTAGAAAAGGAAAAATGCAACAGCCCCACTTACCTTGGTTCAATTGCTAACAAAACTTTCTCAGCCTAGTTCTTGCTTTTAAAACCGTAAATGATCAATTGTCGCTCAAAATCATACCCCAATGGTCAGTGGGTGCATCGGAATCATACCCCAAATGGTTGCCAAGGTACGTATGTTTCACGGGGATGGCGTAAGGGGAAGCCAGGGTTGCATTCGAGATCAAACTAATCCACCAATATTGCTAATTACTCTATGTAAGTGTGCATTTTGTGAATTTTAGAAACTTCAGCTGCATTGTTTCCCTAGTAGTTGTGGTAAAATTAATTTATAGGAAACTTTATTCAAGTGCTTGGCAAACATTTCTAATGGCCTAATCTTTTTTCTCTTCAATTTTTTTTTTTTTTTTCTTTTTGTTTTTGTTTTAAATTATGTCACTCACACTTATTACTCTTATTATATCACAACCTTCCCTTCAAGAAAAATGAAGAGATGCCACTTGGACTTAAAGTCTTCGGCATTTGCAATTGTATTGTGTTTGGTATAAATTTATTTTTGAAGGGGAAAAAATGTCTTTGCCTTAATGGACAAACATATTTTCTCCATCTACAATTTTTTAAATCAAGGTTATCTTCATACATAATATGTTAACATATTATATAAGCGTAAAAAAAAAAAAAAAGAAAAAAAAAAAGGAAAAAAAAACCTCATCTTATATTCAAAATACGCGAAAACCCTCCTATAAACCCCCTCAATTTTTCAAATTGAGCAAATAAGAATATTTTTTTAAACTAAAAATTAAAATACCTAAAATACTCTTAAGACAAAATAAAATTAAAAAACAAAAACTCTCTCTCAAAACAAAGAGGTTATTTTGAGATTTTTATAAAAGAATTTGTCAAAATCTACCATCAATAATTATCATGGGACAATTTGCTCACATAATTCAAATATTGAATAGTTATATGCACATAATAAGTTGAGCGATGTTTTGTGCAGAATTTTTATATAACAAAGTGTTTTATTGCACTTTACCTATATGTAAATGAAAACTTTTTTTTTTTTTTTTTTTTTTCCCTAGTTGGGACTAACGCACACCGCCTCCACTGAGGATCGAACCCCTAACCTCCCTTTGAAAAGTAGGAGTTGTGTACCACTAGACCACATGCCTGTTGGTTGTAAATGAAAACTTTGATGACATCAAAAACCTCCTATCAAGATTGACTCCAAATCCAAGGTTTGGGAATGATTACATGTATCAGAAGTGATTAGTGGTAGAATAATATTAGGTCATGCACACCAATAACAATAGAAATATACCAATAAAAAAATTAGCAGTGAGTTATGTATTGTTGGAGGCTTCTCTCCAGTGCTCCTTATTTGGTTTTCAGGTTTTATTTTATGTTTTGATAGGCAAACACAGGCCTATTTTGTCACTAGATGTGGAGGTCTCTTTAATAGGGGATGGAGGTCATACTCCTTAAGTTAAGGGTCCAGTGGTATCTTGCTCCCATTTTAGGAAGTATATTGCTACAATTTTTTCAAAGAGGATTGTAAGGGGTAAATTTTTTTAGCCATTTATATATGTTTACTTTTTTTTCATATTTTATTTTTAACAATTGCAAATAATTTTAAGACGATATACGTTTGTTGTTCCTTGTTTTTCCTTTGTCAAGCTTTCCATAAATTTAAGTAAAAATAGAGTTTCAAACAATACTTAACAACTTATTGAATTGCAATATAAAGTCATTTGAGTCCTCTAGGGTTCAATTGATTGAAATGCAGAGCATGAGCGATGAATTTTACTTTGAATTGACTTGATTGTAGGCCTTGGCCTCACAGTTGCATTATTCGTGGGATGCTTTTTGTTATATTGAGGAATCAAGAGGAGAAAATTCATCCAACTTAGAGAAAAGTTTTTTCAACAAAATGGTGGTTTGATGCTACAACAACTTTTTTCAAAACTTGATAGTTCAGCTGAGACCACCAAAATCTTTACTATAGAAGAGGTGAAGAATGCAACCAATAACTTCAGTGAAAGTGAAATTGTCGATCGAGGAGGCTTTGGTACAGTTTATAAAGGAATTTTATCACAAAACAAAATAGTTGCTATTAAAAAGTCCTCTGTAGTCGATCAAAGCCAAGTTGACCAATTTGTTAATGAGGTGATTGTACTTTCCCAAATCAACCATAGAAATGTGGTAAAACTATTGGGTTGTGGTTTAGAGACAGAAGTTCCCTTGTTGGTTTATGAATTTATCACCAATGAGACTCTATACCACAATCTCCATGGAGCAGGTCATTTCTCGTCGATCCCATGGGAAATTTGTCTAAGGATAGCCAAAGAAACTGCAGGAGCATATTTGCACTCTGCAACTTTCATACCGATCATTCACAGGGATGTCAAGTCTACTAACATACTCTTAGACGATAACTTTACTGCAAAAGTCTCAGAATTTGGATCTTCAAGATTAGTTCCGTTAGATAAGACACAGCTAACCACAATGGTGATAGGTGTGTATTTATGGATTTGTCATTGTCAAATACACTCCATATCAACATAAAATACCTACAACCATTTAACTAAAAATGTCTAACGGTAAGTAGGGTTGAACTACGCATTCAAGTGAGTTTTTATTTCCGAACAAGAGATTTTAAAACATTGATTTTAGAGTTTGTCACAAATAATTGAAATAAAATTACAACTACAAAACCATCAAATAGGTAAGTGAGAATCAACAAAAAAAAAAAAAAAAAACATGTAAGTAAAACTAACTTGCATTAAATTAAATGAGAAGAAAAACTTAAAGAAAACATCTTGAATTAAATGAGAAAAGCTTGCATAAAAATTACACAAAGAAATAAACTCTCAAAAACTACAAGTATCTCTCACTATCTAACTCTATCTCCGAAGTGTGCAATTTATAGCCAAATGAAGTAACCCACTTGTAGGCTGTGATGATGGCTTTGCCCAAACTACTTCTTCATTTCCTCACGCCACCTTTCTACTACTCACTTCACTGACGACTTCACATATTAACCACTTCTTCACCTTCTCTTCCTAACTTCTATTTCAACCACTTCTTCACTTTTTCTTTTCTTTTCTTCTCTTTTTTTCTTCTTTCTCTCTCCTCCTTTTCTAACTCATCATCATTCTCTTTTTCTTTTCTTTTCTTCTTCTCTCTCCTCTTTTTCTGGCTCCTACTGTACTTCTTCTCATTTCTTTTTAATTTTCTCTTTTTCTTCTTCTTTAATAATGATGATTTTGTTGTACCTTGGATTTGAACTTGAAACCTCTTGAATGATAATTTGCAAAACACACCAACTTTTCTACAATGCTCCTTGTGTACATTTTTTGTTATAAATAAATACAATCTTCCTTTTGCAGCCAATTTTCACTTATTTTCCATTTTTGTTTCTTTTCTTCTCATTCATGCATTAACACTTACAAAACACAAAACAAACATATAAGAATATTTAAAGAATATAAAACTCTAATTAAAAGCTTATTTTGATATATGAAAAAATAGGTTTTGTGTACTTATCAAATTGCCCCCGAACAAGCTTTTGCTAGTCCTCTAGCAAAGAAAGGCAAAAATAGATAAGTTCACAAAAAAATATTATTTTTATTAACAAAAAGATGTGCCACTTTCGCAAGCTACTTTCGATTGCATTTACCATATGTAATAAGGCTTTAAACCACTAGGTTACCCCCTAGTGGATAAGTTATAACCTCGTGAGGGTTTCCAATGAAGGTACCCACAAACTTCCAAAGAATTGTCCTACATATCTACAAAATGAAAAGTTTTAGAGATGAAAATATCAAGTTCTTTATATACAACAAGCTACTAAGGTATTATAAAAACAAATATTTCAAGAAAGTTCACCCATAAACAACCTAGAAGTAGAGAGTGTGTGTGTGCGAAGTCAACAAAAAATTTATTTTCAAATCCAAGTGATGAAATTCCCAAGTCTTTAAAAAACTATGTTTTGACTTCAAATCTCACGGTAAATATCTCTCTAAAAGAATATCTCTCGAAGATTTGGCTAACTGTATCTCTCAAATGTATGTGAGTAGGAACTCTGTTTCCAAAGTAAAATCAAGCTCACATACTAATTATTTGAAGGATCGATACATATAATAGAAGAGTCTCATAACAGGAATGTTGATCACTTTTGAGAGAATGTCGAGTTACCCACCATAATGCCTTCTTATTTACTATGCACTGTCATACCTTTTCTAAAAACATTATTGAGCTCAGTTTGTACATAAATATTTTTGAGAATGAGGGGTCTTTAAAATATTTGAAAGGAATACTTTACTCTTTTTTTTTTTTTTTTTTTTTTTTTGAAGAGAATATGAATGACTTTTTGATCCCTTTTTCTTTTACATACAGTCATCCCTAACATTTCTCAGAAAAATAACAAGATTACAAAAGGTAATGAATGTATGATAGTACATAGTAAACTAGAAGACTTATGTTTCTCTTAACTCGATGTGATTTCATTCTCAATGATCCACCAAGATAAAGGATTATGAGACTAACAACAAATTTTTATCGCGCTATCCAAGAAATTTGAGCCATCTTGTGACTCGGAGTTAGCGTAAAGCTTTCTAAAAAGATGAAAGGCACAAAAACTCACATGGTTTTAAGTTTCCAGTAATTGATTTCTAGATTCTTGAGAGATTATTCACTTCTTTTTTTCAAGCTGCGACTTTGTACAAAAATATCTCTACTTCTAAATTCCCATGGTGCAATGTCTATCATTATATCATCTTAGTAATAAGCTTAATCTCAATCTAGAATAATGACATCTTTTAACTTTCACAAAGTAGAAAAACAGGATTTTTTTTTTTTTTTTTTTTTTTTTTTGTGAAAAGATTTTCAAAAGAGGTACATGTTTTGATAAATCTGTCTTACCCCCAAACAAAATAAAACACTGTCCCTAGTGTTTGAAAAACAGAACATTGAAAATTGGTGAATGAAATGGACAATGTACTGCTGGAGAAAAAGAAAAATTAGAACGAATTACCTCTGAAGTAAAATCCCTGCAAATAATCATTGCAAAAGAGAGACCAAGTGTTCTAAAATTATGACAGATTGTACCCCCAAACAAAATATAAGCATAGCTAAAGAAATAGAAACAAGGAACTGGGTTGCCTCCCAAGAGCGCTAAATTTAACGTCTTTAGCCAGAAGCAAGTGGGGTAGTACCCCCGGAGAGATCAGTCCGAATAGACAGGATCAATGAGAAGATTTTCCTTAATTTCATGAGACTCGAGCTCAAGAAAAGGCTTTAGGCAATGAACTTTAACTTTAAACAATTCCCTAGTCGTGGGGTCTTGTACCTCAATTGCACCATGACTTGCCACATGTTTGATATAGTATGGGCCGGACCAACGTGACCGTAACTTCCTGGGAAACAATTGAAGATGGGAGTTATACAAAAGTACTTTTTGTTCGGGGGAGAAATCCTTTCAAAGAATGTGTTTGTCATGTTCCAACTTTGTTTTGCCTTTATACATTTTGGAACTCTCATAGGCATCATTTCGAATTTCTTCCAACTCATCAAGCTGGAGTTTCCTATATTCATTGGCTTTATCAGAGTTAAAATTCATAGCCTTAATGGCTAATAAGCACGGTGTTCCAGCTCTACAGGCAAATGACAAGTTTTGCCATAAACTAAACGGTACAGAGACATTCCTATAGGGGTCTTGTAAGCAGTCCAGTATACCCACAAAGCATCCTGAAGCCGAAGGGTCCAGTCTTTCCGTGTAGGATTAACTATTTTTCCCAGTACTTGCTTAATTTCCCTATTAGATACCTCAGATTGACCATTGGTTTGTGAGTGATATGACAGGGCCACTTTGTGAGTGATACCATATTTGGACAATAAACTTCCAAAGACTTTATTACAAAAATGTGAACCATTATCACTTATAATGGCTCGAGGTGTACCAAACCTAGGTAAAATTAAGTCTTTGAAGAAACACACCACAACTCGATGGTCGGCTGTCTTGGTGGCTAAGGCTTCTACCCATTTGGAAACATAATTAACAGCCAGAAGGATGTAAAGACACCCATATGAGGAAGGAAAGGGTCCCATGAAATCAATACCCCAAACATAAAAAATTTCAACAACTAGAATGGGTTATTGGGGCCATTCATTACGTTTGGTAATCTTACCTAACAATTGGCATCTATGACAAGCCAAACAGTAGGTGTGGGTATCCTTGAAAAGGGTGGGCCAATAAAATCTTGACTGTAAGATTTTTACAGCGGTTCTTTTAGAGCTAAAGTGGCCACCACAGGCCTGATCATAGCAGAAAGAAATGACAGATTCTTGGTCTACCTCAAGGACACACCTACGGATGATTTGATCTGGACAATATTTGAACAAGTAAGGGTCGTCCCAAAAATATTCCTTAACCTTAGCTAGGAATTTATCTCTCTCCTGTCTGGACCAAGTTGAAGGAATTTGACCCGTCACAATGTAATTGACAATATCAGCATACCATGGGGCAAGAGTTATTGCAAATATTTGTTCATTCGGAAAAATATCCGAGATTGGAATGGATTTACTAATGGACTCAACAACTAGACGGGACAAATGATCGGCCACCACATTATCAGAGCCTTTCTTATCACGAATCTCAAGGTCAAACTCTTGAAGATGTAAGATCCAACGGATCAACTGAGGTTTGGCATCCACTTTGGAAAGAAGATGTCTTAAGGCAGCATGATCGGTATAGATGATGACCTTGGAACCAATCAAATAGGAGCAAAATTTGTAAAAGGAAAACACGACTGCTAACAATTCTTTCTCCGTGGTGGAGTAATTGATTTGGGCATCATTCAGGGTTTTGCTAGCATAATAGATGACATGTCGTGCTTTCTCAACTTTTTGACCTAAGACAGCTCCTACTGCATAATCCGACGTGTCACACATGATTTCAAAGGGTAAGTTCTAATCTGGCGAACGGATGATGGGTGCAGTGGTGAGAGTTGACTTTAATTGTTCAAAAGCAGAGTGACAGGGATCGGTAAACTTAAAGGGTATATCCTTCCCTAACAGATGGGTGAGAGGTCTTGCTATCTTGCTGAAATCTTTAATGAAACGACGGTAAAACCCAGCATGACCTAAAAAAGCTCTAATATCCCGAACAGTTTTGGGAATGGGTAAACTCAAGATAAGGTCAACTTTAGATTGATCTACCTTAATTCCTGTAGCGGAGATATTATGACCGAGGACAATTCCTTTTTTAACCATGAAATGACACTTTTCCCAGTTAAGAACCAAGTTAGTATCATGACAATGCTGAAGAACAAGAGTAAGATGGTGAAGGCATTACTCAAATAATGAACCAAAGACAGAGAAGTCATCCATGAAGATTTCAAGAAACTTTTCAACCATGTCACTGAAAATACTCATCATACACCGCTGAAATGTAGCAGGTGTATTGCATAAACCAAAAGGCATGTGCCGATAAACAAATGTGCCAAATGGACAGGT